AAAATTAATAATGAACTCTAGTCTGAGACACAGTTGATGACTGTACCTGAGGCTATGAATAGCCAGGGGCTGGGAGCAGTGCACTCTGTTTGCACCCTGTTCAGGAGTCAAAGGTATCCTACATCTAAAGTTGGTAGGGACCCCAGAGACCATTTAACAGATGAGGAAACTGAGGCCCAGACAGGGGAAGTAACTTCCCTAAATTCCCTGCCAGAGCCAGGATTTGAACCTGTCCAGGTGCTCTGGCTCCAATCCAGAGCTCAGTCCAATGCACCACACTGTGTCTCTATCCACGGATAAGCTGTTGAGAGGTTTCATTTTTTAAAAATCCCTTCCCAAGGTTACTATAGCAAAATCAACTTAAAATACACCAGATCCACCTTAAATCTTATGTCCCCCAAGGCCTAAGCTGGTGGTTGCTGTCCTCACCATCATTTGGAGCTTGTGCTGGGGTCAGACCCCTGGTGGTGATGTCTATACCAGATACAAGGAGGTTTAAGACCCAGTCCTTGCTCTCTCTCTTAAGGAGCTCACCAAGCCTAGGATAGGTCCTTGCCTACAAGTGTCAGTGGGTTAATGAGCATTTATTAAGCATCTGCTGTGTGCCAGGCACTGTGCTATGTTCTGGGGATACAAAGAAAGGCAAAACCCATTTGGAAACAGCAAGCTCACTAGCAAAGCTGGCTGACTTCCAGTATCGCAGAGCTGTCCAGCAAAAGTGGGATTCCTTATTGTTTGGCACCAGAGGGCAGAGCTAAACCCAGCGGCAGGGAGTGGGGAGAGTGGCCAAAACTCTGGCTCCACGTAAGGAGAAAACTTCACAACACAGGCACAGGCTGAGCTTCTAGCAAAAAGCTAGATGACCACTTGTTGGGAATGACAGACATTCTGGGTCTGATAGGACTAGGTGGCCTCTTACAGCAGAAGAAGCTCTAGCTCAGAGAGGCATATGATGTAGCATAACTTGCAGTCAGAAAGACTTGGGTTCAAATCCCACTTCAGACACTTGGTAGCTGCATGACCCTGGACAAGTCACTTAACTTTCCCTTGCCTCAGTTTCCTCATCTACAAAATGAACTTCTACGATCTCCTCCAGCTCCAAATGAATGATCATTAGAGGTTTTCATTTCAAATCTAGGCTCTGCCATTTACTGCCTGTGTGACCTTGGACAAGTCATTAAATTCCCAGGGTCTCAGTTTCCTTGATTGTCAAATGAAGAGTTTGGACTAAATAGTCTTTGAGGTCCCTTCCAACTCTAGAACTATGAGCCCGTCTAACAGATTTTGCGATTTCTTAACAAACATTTATTAAGTACCTCCTGTGTGCTAAGCACTATGCTAGGTACTGAGTGGAACTGATGAAAGTTGAGAGGGGCAGAGAAGACATTTCTGTGGATCTGTGAGCTCATTGAAACTCTCCAGTGACAGAGATCACCATTTATACATCCTGCAGGACTCTTCCCAAGCCTTCTACCTGTGGAATCTTGCAAATTTTACACCTCTCTGTAAAATAAGGGGGTTGGAAGAGAAGGTACCTTCCACCATCTACCATTAGGGCCCTTTCTCTAAAGCTTTTGACCTTGCATGGGTACTAGCCATCAGCTGGGCAGCCAATAGGACAGAGAATTTATTGGAATAGGGTCTTCCCCATGAAGAAACTCCCTAGACTAGTGCAGATTGGCAACTGTTCCAGTAATTTACAGTCTTCAAGCATTGCTTGGGAGCCCTGAGAAGGGAAGTGAGGTCACATACAGCAGGCATAAGCATTGGAAGCTGGACTTGAAGCCACATCTCCCTGAATCCAAGACAGGTTCTCTATCCACCACACCACCACACTGTCACTCAGAAGGGAGATGCCAAGATGAAGAAAAATCATCTCCTTTATAACATCCTCCTTCCAGGGGTCATAGATTTGGCTCTTAGAGGCCAGCAACTCCCTCATTTCATAGGTAAGAGGTAAAATGTCTTCCCCAGTATCACCTCCAGGGCTCTTTACCAACCATACTGCCCGTTGTTTGAATTAGGGGCCTCTTGAGGTCCCTTGCAACTCTAGGATTCTGGGATAAAGAGAACAGGTCCCTTTAGCCCAGAACAGCTCTCCCCATAGGTCCAGTTGAGTTGGACTCCCCCCCTCCCCCTCCCCGGTGGTACCCCTCTGTGCGGAGATAGGGCATGAGCTGCCATTGCTGCAGGCTCAGGGACAGAGTCTGGCTTCTTTGTTCCATTTCATTTCTTGTCGGCTTTGCCTGCCTGATGTTGCTGGACTCAGGCTAACAATAGCATTGGGGGAAGGGGAGACAGTCACACAAACAGCCTGGGATTCATCTGTAGCCACAGAGCCTGCTCTAACTGGAGAGTGGACAGGCAGGAAGATCAGGCTGTGTGAAGTCAGGCAAGGGGAGGGGAGAGGAACAGTGGGAGTGGGGTGGGGCTGGGCAACTACCAGGGCTCAGATAAATATGGTAATTTACAGGTACTGGTAATTCCTTCTATCTATGTGATCTCTCTTCAATTTATAATCTTAGGGGGCTGTTTGGAGCCCCTAGAAGTTAAGTGACTTGCCCAGGGTCACATATAGTCAGTGTGAGCATCAGAAACAGAACTTAACCATAACTTCCTGAATTCAAGACTGCTTGTTTGTCCACTAGGCCCAGGTTTATACCCACAATGACCAAACCTGCTTCCCTATAACTGTCTGTTTGTCTGTCTCTCTCCCTCTGTGTGTATGTCTCTGTGTCTCTCTCCTCCTTCTCCCTCTCTGTCTCTCTGTCCCTATCTCTGTTTCTGTCTCTCTCCCTCTCTATTTCTTTCATTCTATTTTCCTCTCCCCCCTTCTCCCTCTCTGTCTTTGTCTTTGTTGCTGTTTCTGTCTCTGTCTCTCCCACCGTCCCTCCTCACTGTCTCTCTCCCCCTTCTCCTTCTCTGTCTCTCTGTCTTTCTCTCTGTCCTCACCTTGCACTGACTCTCTGTCTCTTCCTCTCTCCCTCTTTCTCTCTCCCTCCCCCCTCCTCCCTCTCTCGGGATGGAATCATACCTCTAGGTGTTTCTTTGCATGGTGGCGTAGGGTCAGTGTCTGTATAACTATGAATCCCTGCCCACGTCTTTCTTTGTGGCCCCTGTTTTGTGAATTCATGCACAACATGGCATTTATGTGGGGGTGGGACCTGTGTATCAGCAGCGTGAGGGCTGCTCTCTTCGAAGGATGTTTGTGTGTATTTGTGTGTGCATGTGTGTGTGTGTGCATGTGTATGCATGTATTTGTATGTGTATGTGTCTTTGTATGTGTCTGGGCAGCCCTGAAAGCCAAGCCCTCCCACAGCCCAGAGTCACAGGCTTTCCATCCCCCACAACCTGCCCCTCCAAGGGTTTGTGTTCCTCTGTGTCTCTGTGTTTGCCTTCCCGCATGTGTTTGTGTTGTTCCGTGTAGAAGCGTATTTGCCTGCTGCAGGAGCCCTGACTGCTGGCCTGATAGGGGGACCATCTGCTTGGAGAGGTCCCCTCTGGGTGGTTCTGCTGGGCTGCTTTTGGGCCAGGCAGGAGGCCAGGGCAGGATTTGCTGAATTACAGTAGTTTCCCTTCCTTCCCTAGCCCAGCCTGGCTTGGGAGAGACCAGCAGCCTGCCCGCCCACCTATGGCCCAAGAGGATGTTGGCCAAGTCCAATATCCTACCCTGCCCCCCCAGCCTTCCATTCAGGCACCTTAGCAACCCCAATCCTGTCTATCTGTCTACCCCATCCCCCACAACCTGCCCTCCACGACTGAGACCTTTATGGCAATCTGGTGAAACCTATGGACCCAGATAATCTTTAAGGGTCCTTCAGATTTAAAAGGATGATCCTCTGCCCCAGAATGCTCTAGATTTAAGCCCCTCCATGTCTTTTTGGCTCGGTGAGTATAATAATGTTTGCATGACAAATCTCACCAGGTAGGTGAAAACAGTGGTTTGGAAGCTTCAGAGCACCATAGGAATGTGAGATATGGTCCCTAGAGAGGCAGCCAGTGTGTTAGTAATAACTATAACTAGCATTTCTACAGGGCTTTGAGGTTTGGTAAGTGTTTTACAGATAGTATTCTCATCAGGTCTGCACAACCACCCTGGGAGGTAGGTGTCACTATTATCTCCATTTTACAGATGAGAAAACTGAGGCAGGCAGAGATTAAGTGACTTGCCCAGGGTCACATGCTTTAGATTGGTTTTGCACTTAGGTCTTCTTGACTTCAGGTCCAGGTCTTTATCCATCGAACCAGCCAGCTGTTAATGGTTGACACCAGGTCCCTCTGGTATGGGGTGGGAGAGGGAGAAAATAACAAGAGACTAAGTGATCACCCAAAGGTAAAAACACTGCTGGCTTGTTTGGGAAAGATAGTTGGAAATATTCTGGATGAAAGGATCTTGAAGGCAGCTTTCCAGAAGACTAGAACTGAGCCTAGGAACTCCAGAAACAATAGGGCCCTTTCCAGGAGCTAGGGATAGCTTAGGTTATTATCTCACCCCAGCCATCATTATACACGCCCCCAGGGGAAAAGTCACATGATATTCCCTAGGAAAAACAAAGAAGAACTAGAAGGTCCTTTAGACCATAGAACATAGAATGTCAGAGCTGAGAAGAACCTCAGAATATAGATTATTAGAGCTGGGAGTAATCTTAGGACATGGAGAGACCTTAGAACAGGGGATGTCAGAGCTGAGAGAGGCCTTAGAACAGATATCAGAGCTGGGAGGGACCTTAGAACAGGGGATGGCAGAGCTGGGAGGGGCCTTAGGACATAGAATGTTAGATTCTCAGAGCAGAAAAATGTCCAAGCTCAATGTCACCTTAGAGACTGTCTAGTCTAGTCCCATGATTTTACAGAGCACAAAATGGAAACTCAGAGAGTTGGTGCCCTAGGTCACACAGCCAAGGAATAAGCAACCTGATTGATACACCAGGTTGAACCAATATAGCTATCCTGTGAGTGTCAGGAGGAAGTCTCATGTCCCTCTTCCCTTTTTCTTCCAGGGTCCCAGCACTCCCTGTGAAGAATCTGAATGGCACAGGACCTGTGCACCCAGCCCTGGCAGGTAAGATCACCCTAAACACTTTAGGCACACACACACAGACACAATTGCTCTCACAAATACACAAGCCTGCAAAATGTACATGCCCATCCATTCACACAAACATCTCTATGCCCACCCAAATACAAGCACCTAGGCACACCCTGATACCCTCACGTAGACACATCCAGGTATGTCCCCAAGAGGGACTGCTTCTGTGAGTGTGGCTAATGAGAAAGGAGAATCAGATTCATTGGGAGAGGAGGAGATGAATGAGGTTCCACATCTGGGAAGAGATGACCATCTCAGCTGCTCCAAGTTCAAAGGCAGCAGGAGAGGGATTTTGGGAGGATAGCTGACACTGTTCCCTGGCTGACTCTGCTTTCTCTGCTGCATCTCTTCCCTAGGGATGACAGGAATCCTGATGTGTGCAGCAGGGCTGCCAGTCTGCCTGACCCGGGCTCCTAAACCCATCCTACACCCACCTCCCATTAATAAGAGTGACATCAAACCTGTGCCTGGCATCCCAGGCATCTGCCGGAAAACCAAGAAGAAACAACTGAAAAAGAGTATGGCTGTATCCTCTTGTCTCCTCCCCAGAATTAAGCTTTCTTCTCAATCTTTCCTCCCCCTCCACTCCCCTTTCCCTCATAGACCCCTCTTCTCCCAGGAATCTAGTAAAGCCTCCTGGGGTGGGTTTTGGGAGGTGGGATCCTAGGGAAGGGGTCTCTGAGAGATTCAGCTTGGGTGAGATCCTTACCTAGAGGGCTTGGTGACACTGGAGGTGGGGGGAAGAAGGAGTGAAGTGGAGCTGTGGCCATGGCCCAGCCCTACCTCTGTCTCCCCCATCCTCCACAGGTAAGAATCCTGAGGATGTGGTTCGAAGATACATGCAGAAGGTGAAGAATCCGCCTGATGAGGTAAACCCAGAGGCAGAACCTGTGAGGGCTACATGGGGTGTGTGGCCATTGCCTGCCTTGTGGACCGTGTCCTGGGGCCTGAGTCCTGAGATGGTGCAAGGGCCTCTTCTGCTGGGCTAGAGCTTTCACAGCTTGGGGAGGGAGGCAGGGCCCCCAGGGACCTCAGCAGGGGGCTCTAGAGAGGCCTGCAACAAGAAAGGCTAGGGGTAAGACAGCACCTGAGCCTGAGACATTCAGGGAATGGGGGTTTGGGTCAGGGAGCGGGGAAGGGGAACAGGACATGTTGGAAAATTCAGTCAGTCAATAAGCATTTATTAAGCTTAAGCCTAATATTGCTAAGCTGGGCTAGTTGGGGAGGATACCAGGACAAAACTGAAATTGTTCCTGCCCTGAGGAAGCTCACATTCTATAGGGAGATAGAATGTGCACAAAATTAGCTACAGAAATGGTGTCCAATCTAGACCTGTCCCCTGTGAGGAAATCCCCTCTACTAATAGAGATCACTAAAGGCTCTGCAACTTCTGCTCTAGGTGATAGTGGGTGCAAAAACTGTTCCAGAGTAATATTTATTGGGGGTGGGGATGCTAGCAGCTGCAAGGATCAGAAGGAGTTTCATTGAGGAAATGATGTTCAAGCTGAATTTTGTGGAAAGTTCAGGAATTCTAAGAGGCAGAGGTGAGGAGGGAGGGCATGCCAGGCATGAGGGACAGCAGGGGCAAAGGCCTGGAGAAAGGAGATGGAATGTCATGTGTGAGGAATAATAAGAAGGGCAAGGGAAATAATAAGGCTGGGGAGATAGTTAACCAGTCAACAATCGTTTATTAAGCAATGACTATATACCAGGCATTGTGCTAAGCACTAGGAATACAGCAAAAGGCAAAAACCAGTCCCTGCCTGCAAGGAGTTTCCATTCTAATGGGGAAGACAAGATGTAAATAATTAAGTCCATACATGATGATATACATAGAATAGGTGGGAGGTAATCAAAGAGGGGAAGGCACTAGTAGCTGGGGCACTGGAAAAAGAAGAAATTATTTAAGTCTTAAAGGAAGCCAGGGAAACTGAGTCACTTCAGGCATGGGGAAGAGACAGTGCAAAGGCACATAGTTGGGAGGTGGAGGGTCAAGGGCAAAACCAGCGAACAGTCTAGTGCAGCTAGATGAAAGACTTTGTGGAGGGAAGTAAAGTATAAGAAGACGGGAAAGGTAAGTAGAGGCAACATTATATATACCAGAGAAGTTTATATTTGATCCTTGACATCAGATTGAGGGGCTTCAAACACTAAGCAAAGGAATTAGTCTTTGACTCTAGAGATAACAGGGAGCCACAGGAGTTTATTGAGCAGGGGAGTAACATGGTCAAACCTAAGCTTTAGGAATATCACTTTAAGTGCCTACTATGTGCACAGCCCTGTGGATGCAAAAAGAGATAAAACACAAACATCCTGCTCTCAAAAAGCTTATAGTCTAAATGGTGTTTGTGGAGTATGGAGGAGAACATGTATATAAGTAATGGGCAACACCAGGTAGGGAGTTAAGTACAATGGACAGCTCCTAGCAAAGATGTAAGAAAACTGAAGTGATCCTTTATGTCTGGGGGCATGTTCAAGGCCTTAGAGGAAGTAGCACCTGAGTTGGACCTTTAAGGACCAGAGAGGTCTGTTCCCAGAATGGGGAGGAGAGGGATATTGTGAACAAAAGCACAAAGACAAGAGAGGGTGGAACAAGAATAGGGTAGAGAGGACAATCCATTTGGCTGGATCATAGAGTATGCCAAGGACAGTAGCATAAGCAAAAGTTAGAGCCAGATTTTGGAGACCTTGAATGCCAGTCAGGGGTTTACACTTTTTTCTCTAGGTAATAGGGAGCCACAGAAGGTATTTGAGCAAAGGAGTGACAATAGTAGCAGTTATTTAAGGTTATTCATCCTCAGTGGGGGATGAATTGGAAAAGGGAGCCCAGTTAAGAGGCTATCATAATAATTTAGGCAAGAGGTGATGAGGACCTGAACTAGGGCAGTGGCAGTGGGAATGGAGAGGAGAGGACGGATGTGAAAAAATATTAAGGAGTAGAATTCACAGGATTTTCAACTGATTGGAGCAGGAGACCAACATGGAAGTATGCACTGTCAGTATCCATAGCATGAAATGAATCATAGACCTCAGAGATGGAAGGAAACTTGAGTTTGGGGTGACACACTTATTTCTGAGTCTCAGTTTCCCTCATCTCTAAAACGAAGGTGTCAGACTAGATGATCCCTAAGGGCCCTTCTAGCTCTTAGTCAAGAACTCTATGGGGTCAGCTAGGTGGCACAGTATAGATAGAGCACCAGCCTGAGTTCAAATCCAGCCTCAGAAACTTGACACATTAGCTATGTGACCCTGGGCGAGTCACTTAACCCCACAGCCTAGCCAAAAAAATTCTATGAAAGATTCTAGTATAGAAAGTACAGCATTGTCCCTTTTGGCCCACAGAGGTTGTATAACTTAGCAGATGTCCCACAGTGAAACAATGCTGGAGGAGAATTCGTCTCCTCATCCTTTGCTCAGAAACACATTGTTGCATGGAGTATAGAGAGGCATCTTGAGTCAGGAAGACCTGAGTTCAAGTACCATTGTGGGTAGAGAGTAGCTGGGTGCTCCTGGGAAGTCTCAGTGTCCCAGGCAACTCTTGAACATTATAAATTATTGAGGGGCAGCTAGGTGGCGCAGTGGATAGAGCACCAGTCCTGGAGTCAGGAGGATCTGAGTTCAAATCTAGCCTCAGACACATAACACTTACTAGCTATGTGACCCTGGACAAGTCGCTTAACCCCACTGCCTAGCCAAAAAAAAAAGAATTATTGACCAGCTGCCAATTTGCTTTGAGAAAGGGAGTTTCTTTGTATCCCCAGTGCTTAGCACGGTCCCATCATGTAATATTAATAATATAATAACATCTATAATACTTAACACTCATATAGCACTTTCAAAATGCTTTATAATTGTTATTTTATTTGATCTTCACAACATCCCTGTGCTGTTATTATCCCCAGTTTACAGAAGAGGAAACTGAGGCAGACAGATTTATTAAACTTGAGCCTAATATGTGCCAAGCTGGGCTAGTTGAGGATGATACAAGGACAAAACTAAAACAGCCCGTGCCTTGAGGAAGCTCACATTCAGTAGGGAGAGACAGAATGTGCACAAAATGAGCTACAGAAACGGTGTCCAGTCTACACCTGCCCCCGTGAGGAAATCCCCTCTAATAATACAGATCACCAAAGGGATCTTTGTCCAAGGTCATACAGCTAGTAAGTGTCTAAGCATGGATTTGAACTCAGGTCTTCCAGACTCCAGGTGCAGAGGGGGAGACAAATGAAACAGGGACAATGCCATACTATGCTATATTTGTCCACTGTGACACCCAACTGTCTAATGAAGAAACACCTAATAAATGCCTGTTAACTGACTGACTCGGAGTTACCTATAAAGATGAAATTACAAGTAGGGACCCAAAAAAATCTAGTTCTCAGAGTCATTTCCTCATTAAAGCTTCAGTTCCATGAAGCCCCAAACTGGAAGTCAAGAGAACTGGACTGTGCCACTCACTATGTGACCTAGGTCAAGTCCTTTCCTTTCTCTAGCCTCAGTTTCCGACCTCCCCCATAAAATGATGGGGCTAGATTCTAGGGTCCCTCAGTCCTTTCACAGCCTGGCCATCCTGTGTCTTGGCCCCCATCTCTACTCCCATCTCTGGCAGGACTGCACTATCTGTATGGAGCGACTGGTCACCGCATCCGGCTATGAGGGTGTTCTCCGCCACAAGGGTGTGAGGCCAGAGCTTGTGGGCAAGCTGGGCAAGTGCGGGCACATGTACCACCTCCTGTGCCTGGTGGCCATGTACAACAGCGGTAACAAGGTATCCCTGGGGAAGGTGACCTTGGGGGGGGCAAACAGGGGGAGGTGGGAGAGCCCAGGATGGGGGTGGGGTGGGAGGAGAGACAGGCTGAGGAAAATAGATAGACTGAGTGGGGGAGAGAGGCTGACTGAGGGAAGAGACAAGCTGAGAAAGGGAGAAAAACAGACTGAAGAGAGAGAGAGAGAGATTGGGGAAGAAGGAAAAGGCTGAGGGGTGGAAGAGACTGAGAGGGAGAGAAGCTAAATATGAGAAAGACAAACTGAGAGAAAAGGGACAGGCTAAGAGGGAGAGACAGGGTGAGGGGAGAAGAGATGATAGGGAGAAGAGATAGACTGAAGGTTGGGGAGAGACAGACCTCTGGAGGCTGTGCCATGGCTGGGCTCCTGGGCCTGAAGCTGTGCTGTGGAGAAGGGCCACGAGTCAGGGGGAGAACAGCCTATGGGGAAGGGTGCTGATCCGGAGCTCTATTTTCTGCCCAGCAGGATGGCAGCCTTCAGTGCCCCACCTGTAAGGCCATTTATGGGGAGAAAACGGGGACTCAACCCCCTGGGAAGATGGAATTCCACCTCATCCCCCATTCACTCCCTGGCTACACGGACACCCAGACTATCCGAATCGTCTATGACATCCCTACTGGGATCCAGGTGAGTTGGCCCCCTTTATCCCAGACTGCAACTGCCCTGGTCCAAAGGGTACCCTTATCTACCACTGCCACACCCCTGGCTGCCCTTGGCCACCACTACCCCACCACCAGGTGCCCGACTCCATCTTCCCTGTCATGCCTGTCCCTGGTATGTAGGGGTTCAAATCATAGGGAGCCATTCTGGAGACCTCTGGACACCCCAAGAACTTGTGTAGATAATATCTGCCTGAAGATCCCACTCCCAGGGGAGCCCTCAGACTCAAGTGGGAGGAAAGCTGGTCCCAGGGGATCTGTCCTAAGAGATCTGATGTACCCCACCTAGAAAGCCATCTATGGGGAGAAAATAGGGACCTGGGGACACTTCAGATCTTCAGATCTAAAGGAATCTGGGAGAGTCTCTAGGCCCTTAGACATGAGTTCCAGGGGATAAAACTGGATTGTTCTCTGCTCCACCTGCTGGCTGCCAAAGATAATCCCTTTATGTCCTCAATACAGCTCTCCTGGCTCCCAAAGTTCTTTCCTTTATTCAAAGCTTGGGGCTTAGGAGAGGAACAGCCGGGGCAGAACTTAGCCCAGAAACTAGGCTACAGACAGACGAGGGGAGGGAATGAGTTCCCCCTCTCTGAGCCCAGCTTCTCTCTTCCTTTCCCACTCGGCTGTTCTCCACACCACTGCAGGGTCCAGAGCACCCCAACCCTGGCAAGAAGTTCACAGCGAGAGGCTTCCCCCGGCACTGCTACTTGCCTGACAACGAGAAGGGCCGCAAGGTGGGTCATAAGGAAGGAAAGGGAGGGAGCAAGAGGGGATAAGAATCCCACAGGCTGGCCAGGCACCACAGCCGAGGGGAGAGGAGGCAGAACTGAGCTTCTCCCCACCTCTGCCCTCCCTCAAGGCTGGTGAGACCACAGTGGGCAGGCTGTGGGGCTTCTCAGTAGGGTCCAGTGCCCAGATGGCACCCCTTGTCCCTGGGCCCTCCTTAGGGACCAGGTTTGAAAGTGCCAAGTCACCCCAAGTGAATCTGTGTTACTGTCAGAGCCAAAAGGAGTCTTAGAAGAGAGAATGTCAGAGCTGGGAGAGGCCTTGGAGATTATCTAAGAATACCATCCCCTCTCTTTTTATGGAGGAGGAGAAAGTAGCCTCAGAGGGAAAATGGCTTGCCCAGAATCACGTAACAAGTTAGTAGCAGAGCCTTCTTTCTAAAGTATCCTCCCACCGGCCTCAGACGCATAACACTAGCTGTGTGACTCTGGGCAAGTCACTTGACCCCAGTTGCTTCACCAAAAAAATAAAAATAAAGTATCCTCCCCTTTGGGGTAACACACACCTCTTAAGAGAGCCTCCTGGAGATAGTGGCTTATATCAAAAGGGAACTCTAGAAAAGCAGCATCGGGTGCCACGTGTGCCAGGAAGATCTTTTAGAAAAGGAGCTTTCTTGGGCCCCCTTTTCATGTCACATGGCTGGCTGCCCCCCCATCCCTGGCTCTGCCCATAACTTCCTTGTCCCTATGGCCTCAGGTGCTCCGCCTACTCATCATGGCCTGGGACCGGAGGCTGATCTTCACCATTGGCACGTCCAACACCACGGGTGAATCAGATACCGTGGTCTGGAACGAGATTCACCACAAGACGGAGTTTGGCTCCAACCTCACTGGACATGGCTACCCGGACCCCAACTACCTGGACAACGTCTTGGCAGAGCTCACAGCCCAGGGAGTCTTGGAGCCATCCTCAAAGGACTGAGACCTGGGGCCCTCCTCCAGGCTGTCCATGCTCCTTGCTCTACTGGACATCTCTCACTCTTCTATCCCTTCACCCTCCACTGCCCCCCCCACCTGGCAGGCTTCCAGGATCCCTCCTACCCGGGAAGGTGGAAATCAGTCCTACCAGGGTCTAGGCTGGGGACAAATATTTAGATCTTCCCTCTTTCAGTATGACAGCAAGTGACAGATTGACAAGCAAACACACATTCTTGGGAGGGAGGAAATACATACACACCAAAAAACCCTCCAAGAAAACACCCTGGGCTCCTGAATGAAATAATACTTTCCATTTAATAGCATTCAGTTTACAAAACACTTTCCTCACAACAACCCTATGAGGTGGGCAAGTCAGGTATTTGTGGTTCCATTTTACAGATGAATAAACTGATGTTCAGGCAAGGGGAAATGACTTAGAACTGGAAGAAATCTTAGAGATCTGCTGGTCTGAACTACTCATCTGCTCAGAGCAGAAGAGGCTTGTCCAAGACCACACAGCCAGGAAGTAACAGATCTGTGCCTTGGCTGACACACTAACCTAACGGGAATTTAGCATCTCACCCATGTTATCACACACACACACACACACACACACACACACACACACACACACATCATAGAGAAACACCCAGAACTGTCTAGAAGCACCCACCTCCCTCTCCCCCTCCCCCATCCTCTGTCTCTCCCTCCTTCCCTCCCCCTCTCCCTTTCCCTCCCCCACTACCCCCCTTTCTCTCTCTCTACCTCTTTCTCTCCCCCCTTGCCTCCCTCCTTCCCTACCCTCTCTCTCTCCCTCCCCCTTCCCTCCCTCCTTCCCTCTTTCCTCCCTTTCCATCACATTGTCTCTTGCTAGTGGACAGGGATGGACTTGGAGGTCTTGGGTGGATTCTAGGTTCTATGTTGTATGTGTTTTGGGGGGTGGGGGAGGGGGAAATCATGCACATATAATTGCCAAAATAAATGGATAACCCTGGGTGGGGAGGGAGGAGAGGGTGGCACTAGGGTGAAGGGGGAGGAATCTTGCTTCTTTTTCTCTTTGTCTCACCTTCTCTTTTACCCCCACCCTGACATCTACCTGTCCCTGTTGCAATCTGCCTATAGGAGGTGACAGATATGACCACACAGGTGGTCCTCCCCCATACCAAACCCTTTCCATCCCAGCTGTGGGATTTCTGAGCCATCCCTTTCGAGAAGTGTAAGCCCCATCCTGGAGCCAATCACTCGCTGGGGGTGGGGAGAGGGTAGGGACTCAGATGAGACCTCCCTACCGTGAAAACCCTTAAAAAGGAGAGTGGGTGACAAAGAGTTAACTTCTTTCTCTCTCTTTATTATTATTATTATTATTATTATTTTTGGTGTTGGGGGGAAACCCAAAGATATAACAGCTCCCAGCCAACCAGGCACCTGTTGCCTAGGCAACTCACCAGCTCTGCCTCTGTGGATTGGCTGGCGTTGTGGAAGTCGGCCAGGAGTTAAAGGGATGTCAACAATTGCTCTTTCAAATGAACCACCAGTCCCACTGTGGGTGGAGAAATAAATCGCCTTTCTCCTCCCCGTGTTGTCTTCCCATTGGTAAAGACTGAAGAATGGGTTTGAGGGGAAAGGTTCCATCACACTCCCTTGCCTTCTGAAAATGGGCTTATCAGGATTTGGGGAAGGGAGTGGGGTAGACATTGCTGCCCCACTGGGCAAAACACAACCTAGGTCCTATGTTGGGGAAAGTGCAGTTCTGAGCAAGGCCACAAGGTGGTGCAGCGATCCCAGCTCCAGACGGAAAAAGTTACTAGCCCCTGGGGGTTCAGTGGACCCTTGGAAAATCCTGGAGAGTCAACAGCTCATACTAAGTGAAATCTGCACCCTCCCTTGTCTGTCCTAGAGAAAGGTGTGGATCCACATTATCTCTTTTCTTCAACTCTCCTCCCACCATGTACACACAGTGCCAAGTTTCCATCCATTAACTCACTCGTTCATTAACTCATTCGTTCATTTCAGTTATTCAGCACGTTTATTGAACCTACTATATAAAATAAGGAAATCGGACTATATGGCTTCTGAGGTCCCTTACATCTCTGAGCCTATGTTCTTCAGGAACTAATAAAAACAAGAAGCCCCAGTCCTGTCCCATTAGCCCCAGGGTACTTTCTCTTAGTAAGCCTGGGACCAAGGGGATTCCTGAAATTGTACACATGGTAAGTGCTTAATAAATGAGTGTTGTTTGGAAGAATGTTGGAAGAAAGCAAGGAAAGTCAAGGCAGGGATCCCTACTAGGGCTGTGGTCCTTAGAGAACTGAGGGGGAACAGGAATTGGCAGCAGCCCCTCCCTTTGCTCACCCCTTACAAGGCACCCTCCCGCCCCCTACATAAGCTCACCAAGTGTAGCAGGTATATTTAGGGGGACTAGGAGAGCTGAGCCACCCCCACACCAGAAAAGTGTTTTTAGGGTCCCTTCCCCAAACGGCCACAAAAACACTGAACTCTGCTCCCCAGCGCACATGCCAGTCATGTCACCCTTAGCCTACATTTGGGAGGCTCCTTTAGCTGAAACCTGAGCTTCCAGGCTTTCCTGTGTAGGGTCATTTGCCCTACCTCTATGGTGCCCTGGCTTATTTGGGGAAGGCTCTGGGAACTCCAAAATCTCCTATCAGGGAGTGGAGCTGAGCTCCCCTTAGTGGCCAAAGGTAAAACTGCAGCTTATTCGGGTGGCTCTGAAGTTGCGTAGAAAGAAGGCTCACGTGGGACTCCACCCTCCTAGGCTCTACTGCCCCACCTCCCCCCCCCCAATAAAGCTAAATCTCCTCCTCTCTTTCTCAAGCCCAGCTCCTGAGGAGGACCAGAGGACACTGGGTCACTGACAGCCTTGATTGGTTGAGGCACCCCTCAGCCTAGGGTCCTGTCTAGCTCTGGGATTCTCCAACGCTCTCCACACCCATCTTGTGGTGCTTTCTTTGGTAGAGTCAAATCTCAGACTCCAGAATCTCTGCTTTGACCCAGCATGATGTAGGGACAAGACACTGGATTTGGAGCCATGGGACCTGGATTTAAATTCTCATTTACTACCTATGTGACCCTGACCCTGTTTATTCTATAAACTAAGGGGACTGAACTAGATAATTCCTAATGCATTCTCTCAATTCTAAATCCTAGAATCTTCTGGAAGGCAATATCGCCATCCTCACCCTCAACCTTCTCAGCCTGGGAAGACTGGGCTGCCCCACCCTTGTTTCTAACTTCAATCCCAAGTTATAGCTCGGACCCATCCAGGCACAACAGGTCATGGGAGGAACCCCTAATTGATAGAGAAGAGGGCAAGGTCATTCCCCAAAACTGATTCATGAAAGATCCTGGGTGGGTGGGTAAGTCCCAGAGCCTCTACAGACCAGCGATATCTACTACCAACACTAGAGGCTTACGGTAGGGGCTAGGAGAGGAAGCACCGTCCCCTTCCCCTTCCCAAGGCTAGCCAACTAGAACTGAGAAGGTTCATACAGAGTAGGCATTGTATTGGCCACAGAGGTCCAAAGGCAGGCCACAGGATGGGCTAACAAGAAACAAAGGACTGGACCATATGGGGGATGACTGAAAGAACTAGGGAGGTTTAGCCCAGAGAAGAGACAACATAAAGGGGACATGATGGTCATCTTTAAGTATATAAAGGACTGAGGGGGATTAGATGTGTCCTGTTAGTTCCCAGAGGGAAAAACTTGGAGCAGAGAGCCGGAATGTAAAGTTCCAAAGTGGCATTTTTAGACTCAATGTTAAGAAAGGCTTGCTAACAATGATATCAGTCCAGAAAGGAATGGGTTGCCTTGGGAGGTAGTGAGCTCCCCATCACTGAAGGTCTGCAAGAGAAGAATGTTGTTTGGGGTGTTGTGGAGGATCAGAACCATGTATGGAGACAGGTTAGAAGAGGTGGCCTCTGAAGGTTTCTTCCCAATCTGGGATTTGATAATCAGGTGGAGACTGAGAAGCAAGGTTCAAACACACAGGAGGGGATGCTGAGCGCTCCTGCCTGGGGGCTGGGGGTCCACAAGGAGCAGCTACTGAGGGTGGGCTGACAGGTCAAAATGGCTGCAAAAGAATCCACTTCTCAAGGCCTTGGACCACCACCGCTTATGGGGGCCAGACTGGTTCAATCAACATACAATGACTGGTTTGTTGAAGAAACAGAGGTTTGTGCCCCATCTGGAGTGGTTAGAAAAATGCTCTGTTCCCCTATTGTGGCTCCCTGCCAGTGGAGGGAGGCCATGACTCTCAAGGGAGAGTGGGAATGATTACATGCTAGCCACTCCCGGAGACACCAATCAGGGTCCCAATCCTGCTTCGTCCCTTTCTTGGAGTGACAAGCCTAGTTCCCAGGAGTCTGCCCCTGGCTCTAGAGTCAAGACCTGTATTCAAATCCTGATGCTAGCTCTTTCTACCTGTGGCCAAGTCACTTGACCTTCTTAGGCTCAGTTTCTTTACCTGTAAAATGAGGGATTGAACCTGATGGCTCCTCAGGTTCCTTAGATCTATGAGCCCCAAAGACAGCCCTGTCTTCTCTGTGTCTCTGGATGGAGTCTGGCTTTCTGCTCCATTCCAGGATGATACCCATTATCTGGGGCACAGGACCCTCAGCTCAGAGTGGGGCTGTGGGTGGAGGGGAGAGGTCTCAGCACCATACCCTGGAGGGCAACCCAGAGGGGCTGGGCCAGTGTGGGCTGTGGGCTGTCCGAGAAATCATCCGGCCTCCTCAGCCAATGACCCTGGGTACCTCAGCCCTGACGGTAACCAGGGAGCTGAATGGGTCATCTATGGCAAGGGAGCCTCCAGGTTCAGCATCTCTGGGTAGCCAAGGAGTGAATAAGGAGGAGGGCAAGAAGAGTCAGGAAGCAGCCCTGAGGAGAGACAAGGCCAGGCCAGCTGTCTTCTAGGCTCCTGCACTTTCCTATTCACTGGACATCGGCTCTTCCTTCCCTGATAAAAAATGTCCCAGGACTATGGGGAGAGAACAGTGTCCTGGACTGAAGGATGGAGACCTTAGGAAAGCAGGGAGCCTCTAGTTACGTGCTCCTTTTCTCGCTGCTCAAAGGTCTTGTGGGCCTGCTCCAGGTCCTCAATCACAGCCAGCAGACGGGCAACAGCTGCAGCTGTGGGGGGCCTTTCCTGTTCAGGAACAGCAGATCCCCCTCCTGATGGGAGAGAAAACAGGAGAATAGTCAAGAGACTATCAAGAGACAAAGTCAAGTATGTTATCAGGTCAGAGTCACTGGTTTGGAATTAGGACTTGAGTTCAAATTCTGGCTCTAATACTTGCTACCCCATACCTTAGGCTAATCACTTTACTCCTCTGGCCCTCAGTTTCCCTATTATGTAAAACCAAAAAGTTGGACATGAGCTCAAAGCTCTAAATCTGATGAACTCTCCATCCAAATAAGTGGGAGAATCAGGCCCCCAGAGAATCCCAAAGAACAGATAAAATAATTCCCTGAACTGTGGAAAATATTAGGAGGTCTTCTTTTTTGGGAGATGTAACTGCTAGACTCTGCTAATACTAAACTGGAGTACACAGCAATTTGGGAAGGTGGAATGGGGTTAGATGCTGGCCACAGGTGAGTGAGAGGGGATCCCAAGGCCACACGTGCTTGAGGAGAGCAGAGAACATTCTAGGTCAGTGATTCCAGCTGCAAATAGGGTTGTGAAGCTGGTTGATGACTTAAGAGTTGGAACCATGGATTTTTGTCCCT